CTTCAAAATGAGCGCTTAATGGACCCTGTACGGTCAAAATTGACCGAGTTATGGCCAAAAAACATGATTTTCCCTTCCCGCCCCTCCCCTTAAAATTCCACAACCTCGCATGATACGCAAATCTGGAAATAAGCTCTACTAGACCCCCCCCAACAGCCCCCAAAAGGAATTGAGCTGTTCTCATCACTTGAAAGTATTCGCCTTTTTTTTGTCTAATTTGACTGGCCTATTAACCGACTGTTTGCATCGAAAGTGGGTCGAGCGCAAGGAGCGCAGCGGCTCACGATTATCGAAGACGGATACTTCTACTACTTATCGAGGAAAGTGTAAAGCCTAATCGAGTCTTGAAAACAAGATGTTAATGTTTATTATATTGTGTGAAATTTATATACTGCGTATGTAGTCCCCCCTCGCGACGCTGATAGATTTTCAGCCTTGACGCATACATATTCACTACCACAGTAATATCACTTAGTTAAATTGAGAATCAATTTAACCAATTTTTTGATGCCTATAGCATCATATTAGATCTTAATAATATGTTGAAAGACATATATTAAAATTTAATATTAAAGTAATAATTTAAACTCAGAGAAGCTGAGATTGTGAAGAATATCACGAGTTGGCGTTTGGTCCCGGCTTCCACTACTGGACTCATCAGTAAGGTAATGTAGTGGGAGCCTACCTTAGGACCTTTTCAAGACTCGATTAGGCTTTACACTTTCCTCGATTATTAAATCATACGAGTCAATTATTATTATCTTTCATTATATCTACTACTTATAATCCAACGTCTTCATCGTCGACGAACCAAAGATATTATTGGGAGTTGCCTCCGTCGAAAGACATATCTTCGACTTACAAGCCGACGTCTTCAACGTCGACGAACCAAAGATATTATTGGGAGTTGCCTCCGTCGAACAATACATTTTCGACTTACAAGCCGACGTCTTCAACGTCGACGAACCAAAGATATTATTGGGAGTTACCTCCGTCGAAGGATACATCTTCGACTTACAAGCCAACGTCTTCATCGTCGACAAAAAATAAATACGTACATCCTCGAAGTCCTCCCCCTCCTCCGCCATTAAAAGCGCGGGATTGTCTTGCGGGAAACAACAAGTCATAAGGTACGAACAAAGAAAATACGCGGAAGTTTGTGATAAAACTTGTCGCGACAGGTTTGCAATTCTCGGAACGAGAATTTACCCCCTCTCCCTTCGATTTAACAACACGTCATAACAAAGAAAATTCGTAGAATTTTGTGATAAAACGACAGGTTTGCAATTCTCGGAACGAGAATTTACCTCCTCTCCCTTCGATTTCAGAAATATCGCTACGCCATTTACACGATTAGTCTTGCTACGCTCGTTTGCACGAACGGATCGAAAATGTTCGGCTTTTACTCCGCCAAAGAGAGCGAACCGAAGAAGGAATCGTACGTTTTAATAATCTATACTGAACAAAACTTTTTCTTTTTATTTTCCTATAACTTTACTGAAATACAATTGCGTTATTACGCAGGATGAAGCGTCACGCGGTGCGCATACTGAGTCGACGTTACGACCTGACCGCCACGGGCTACAAGTTTCTGGAAATTGGAATCAACGTCGGTCCACCAAGCTACGTGGAGATCGTTCTGGGAGATCATCACGGACGCGAACTGTCGATGCTCTCGAAACGTGGAAGGGTCTCTACGAGCAGCGATGGAATATCTACAAATTGCTGCGAAACGAATACAAGGATAATTTTATAACCATCGGACCGCTACAATCTACACGCATAACGACGTTACGCTCGTACGACTAGAATCCGCAACCGTAAACGCTATGATGATCGAATCGACGCTACGCCGTATGTTCGATCTCGACGGCTGCATCGACGTAACTTTCGAGCAATTATCCCGACTCGTCGATACGGTCGATACGTTAAGTACACGCGCTTCGCCAACGTCGCGAACGCTATACGCGAGAGCGATGTCTTCGACAAACGCCAACTCGTCGATTGCGAGCTCCTCGCTTTGGTTTTTAACATGTAAATTTTACTATGCTAATAAATCCCGTGTAACAAAAGAATATTTGAATATATTGTAAGAAAAAAAATTACTGTGTAAAAATTATGAATAAATATTCTCTGTCTAATTGTAAGTTATTTTATGCGTACTTTCTTTCCCGTTCGTCCTAAAACGTACCTACGCACATATCAAACTCTGATGCATTTGTATCACGCCATATTGATAATGTTGAACGCGGCGCTCGAACTTGTCACGACGTGTTGCGACGTGTCGACGGTCTTCCTGGAAACAATATCGTTATCCCGAAAGATAGCGCATATTAATTTAATACTCAATGAAGAAGAATTTTTCAGGGGGGTTGGCGGCCTTTGAAAATGCTCGCGCTGGACCGATGATCTCATCGCGCATGCGCAAAACAATACATCGATGTCACCGTGACCAATGCCACGTGATCACTGCGGGGGAGGCTTGACTTATTTGATGATCTCATCGCCCGATGATGATGTCATCGCTTGCATCGGTTGCATCGCCTCGAAAGGGTGGCGGCGGCTTTTGAAATTTTATACCCAAACAATAACATCTCGGCGGTGGCTCAGCGGTTAGGGCGAGGAGGCGGCGGCGCGATAAGGCGACTCGGCTCCCCCCTCCCCTCCCCCGGACCTTCCCCGCGTTCCGCATCCCCCTCGGAGCCCCATGGGTCTGAACCCGTCTAGTCTATCTATTAAATTGTATAAGAATTTCTAGCAATGTTTACCGCCAGAACTCATTAGAAAACGCTCAAACAATGTCAGAATGATATGAGGACTGTAATAAAATAATGTTACGTCCAAGCTCCGATTCCGGGAGGAGCTGCGGAAGGGCGCAACGAACTCTGCC